CCTCCTCAAGGTCCAGAAAGGGCACTTTATCTCGTCTAAAAATGCATCATGCACCATATTGGGGGGGGGGGGGGGGGTTTAGGACAAGAAATGGTTCCATAATGCTAGGAAGGCTAGATCTATCACCTACAAGCATAAAGTTTGAAGCTTTTTTACCTCCTGGAGATTCTAGGGTACAACATAACTTTAGATCTACAAGCCAATCTCCTTCTTCAACTATTTGTTATAATGGCTTCACCTTCAATAGCTCAAAATACCCACCAACTCACTCTATCACACAAGAACTACGATTTAGGAACGTTTTTGGAAAGATGGAGGTTGAGAAGGAAGAGAGAGAATGAGCCATAAGGATGTTTATATAGCCCCCAACCCGAGATATTAGGGTTTTCATCCTTTATAAGTACACCCAGCATACTGGGGCACGCCCTAGTATGCTCAGCGTACCCTTATGTATGCGCAGCGTACTCCTCATGGTCCCAAAATTACAGTTTAGCCCTTAGGCTTTTCATGGCTTTACCATTCCATCCCTAGGGACTACAATTGACAAACTCGGGATGTTATACATATGGTGATGAACTCAATGAGTCCATGCCCTGACTCGACGAGTTGGACCACCTGTTAACATATTTTTTAAATTTTGGCCTGATTTGGATTAGGATCATTACCACAAACTGTTTGGATTGATAAAACTTGATTTTTCTGATAAGGTAATGATTGTCCTCATCCAATTGAATGATAATTGTCAAATTTTAAGATAATTATTTTATTTTGTGAAAAACTAATTATTTGTAGAATTTGAATCGTCTTGCTATATGAAATTTAATTAGGTCAATTATGTGATATGGTTAATTATATGACTAATTTAATTGTTATCAAATTAAACTAAGAAGATTTTAAAGAGTTTCAAAATTTTCCCTCAAGTTTTGGAATTTAAAATGTCTTAATTATGAAATATTAAATTCTAAAACTCTAGTAAATTGAAATGGTTCAAAAGTGTACCTCTTGGTTTTGTAACTTAAAATTTAATTAAATGGCCATAATTTTGAAATATTAAATTTAGAACCTTGATATTTTGAATAGTTCAAATTACACCCTTATGGTTTTATTAAATTAATTAAGTGTTTAATTAAAAGAGAGAATTAATAAATCCATAATGACATGGTTTAAGTTTAATTAACCTTATTAATAAATTAAACCACTTAGTATTTTAAAAGTGTAAAATAAACCATTATACTATATAAAATTAAAATTTTAATATATTATATATGTATAAGTAAAAGGTCGGACTTACTGTTAGTAGGCCTCATTCACAAAGCTGGTCTATAAGGGGTGTTTAAGGAAATTGCCTACAAAAATGGCGATTGAATGGGTGTCCACTCTCACCCACCGCACTCTTGACCAGTGGAGGGTCGTCAGCCGAACGGGTAGGATAGGACACAAACTTTCAATAATAAGTATAATGAAATACATGTAACTAAATGTTTTATAAATTGACAATCTTAATTACTTAGGGAAAATGTGAATTTAATGATAACCCTTGAAATTGCACATTGCAACTTATTGGTCATTATTGGAGCGTGTGTGGTTATCCAACACACTAATATGGGACTAATGTAGGATGACAATGGGTAGCTCGAAGATTATTACACATCAATTGAGCATGTGTGGTTAAGTGGCACATTGATTAGGTGATAAATGATTTAGAGAGTACTAAACTAATTTGCATGGTTATTCACACCTTGTTTGTATTTGTGATCTTCGGTATCCCAATCACAAACTTGAAGGGAATAATCAAGATTAAACATGCCATTGAAAAGTTCAATGAGTCTGAAAATATCTAGGAAATTTATTTAAAACATAATTCGTTTAAAATTTCATTTTCGTGGTGGAATTCGTAAATCATCATTTACCTACCGACAAATAGTTTACAATTGGATTACGACATCCCTATTCTGAATTGTAAATTATTGTGTTGGGTCCTAGCTCTAATATATCATTTGGGTGTTATATTAAGGATTGGTACAACTGTTGGGTTTGGAGCATTCTAACACTCCTATAGTGTGCATGCAACCCTATGAACCTTGGATCTATGTTTTCTTCTAAAATACATGAAAATAATAATTTCCAAGGTTTCTTCCTAACTAGCATAGGATAACGATTATGAATCATAAAACTACTAGTAGAAATACATACCTTTTGATGGTGGTTGATTGTTTGGAGTTTGAGAGCCTAGCACCAATAATGTGAATGCCTCAAGTGGAATCACAAATCACCACAAACTTGGAAAAAACCTTGAGAGAATAATATGCTATGTAGAAATCGACCACCACAAAGTCTCACACAACTAGTTTCCATTTCTTGCAATATGTGCATCTTTATATCGTATGGAGGATTAGGGTAAACCCTAATAACCCATGTATTTTCCTTTCCAAGGATCCATGGGTTAAAAGCTCCATGGATCATCCATGGACCCCCATGCATGCTTAGCCCATTCCTAATGAGTTTAAGCCCACATTATATAAAATGCAATAGCCCATGTTTAATTAGTCTTCCTTTTAATCACTAAATTAATTCATAGTTAATTTAAGACTAAAACTAATTAAATAACATGAATTTATATTAATATATTATAACTTATAATATATTAATAAATCATAAACATACTATTTTCATAAGATTATCCATATAAATTGTTCGGGTAAAGTGCAACCCAAATGGACCATGCCGGGTCGGGTCAAGTATATACCAAATAAGTTATGGACTTAAACACCTTATCCAATAGTCTACCACTTGGATAAGTCTAATAATTGTATTTGCGTATATTACTTCAGGAACCAACCAGCAATCGTAGCTCTCGAAAACTCTGCTGAACTATGAAGCGCCATTTTAGATAAGCGATCATATAGTCCTCTATTCTCATGATATCAGCTGGACAAATACATGGAACAATGTCTTACTTATTGTCTGGCAGTTGTTTCTCGATTTCCGATTTGTTTGACAAAGAACTTAACTGAACACATCAATTTTAGTTTTGACCGGGCCTGTAACAGATAAACTTCGACTCATATGCTTGTTCTACTACTTGTTGAATTGTACACAAAGGCACATTTTATAACATCAAGTTACTGATGCGTTTACGTGCAATCAATGCACAACCAACTCATAGGTAACAACTCATATCTCTAAGTTTGAAGACTTATATGATATTATCGTCTCACGATCACTTGAGATAAATTCTATGAAGTGATACAAGTGAGCGTGGGTTTATTCCAATACTCATAACTTATGAGCACTCATGAATGTTGTAGCAACCATTGCTATGACTAAACACATTTAGCCATCTACAAACTCGATTCATGACCGTCTTAATTCTTACCTACTTCCAACATATGAATGATTGTGGAGTGTTTAAATAACTAAGTTATTCAGAAAACAATAACCTAGCTATTCTCACTACTAGAAAAATAGCCTTTTACGACGCGCGAACCATGACACGCAGTGATTTATGATACGCAAAGGTGAGTATCTAAAAAATAATGTCATCTCTTCCAAAATTTAAAGGATTTCAGACGCGCATTTTTGCTTGCCCTAAAATTAGTGTCTAAACAAAAAAAAAAAAACACGGAAGGCACCTGCGTGTCGTCTACGACTGTCACTTTATAAATTTTAATAGAACGCGCGCGTTCCATCAGGGGAAAATGAAATCCCAAAAACTTAAAATCCCCGCCTTCCTAATTTTTTTCTCCCTCCACTTTAATTTCCCTAGTAGCTAGGGCTTTTTTCAAGAACTTGCCCCGATTATGCCCTCCTGTACTGCTCGTTCTCTCTTCAACTTCCCTTTCTCTCCTTCTCACTTTGACAAACCCTTTCTCTTCTTCTCAGTTCTCGACGTCGACAGCTTCTCCCACCTCCAACGTTTCTCTTGGTGTTGGCGCCTCGCACCTCTAACCTCCGTCTAGCCCCGCCCCACCGTCCAGGATCCAACATCCTCCGCTTCATAACCTCCTCCAGAAGATTCCAATCTTCCAATGAGATCTGAACGCGTTGAATCTTTCCACTGTTTTTCAATCGAGATGGATCTACGACAACGCCATTTTTACTCGTTAGAGGTGGAGATCGAGCAGGAACTTATTTCAGAACCTTGTCTCTGAATCTCACGAGGCTTATTAAACGATGAAGCCAGATGATTAACTCAAGTATGTATCGATCCATCTTCTATTTACCAGCGTGATAAAGTGTTTGAAGTCGAATAACATTATTGCTCTGTGTTGTCTTCTTCCCAAACTCATTGTTGTTGAAAAAACGAGTCTAATTAGGTCAATTATCAATGAACCACTATATCTACAAGTGACATATCACAGGCATCAGAATCTTAATTAGGTTTTAATTCTTATGTTTATACCCCTTTTTTATTTGCCTGTTTCAATTCCGTTTGTCATAGTGATGACGAAAACCCTAATCAATGTGTGTTTTTCTTGCATTTATTGGAGAATTTATTTCATCTTAAAACCTAAAATTTCTCTTTTGGTTTAATAAATAGTGTTTAGGGCCTGCCTGCACACCAAATAATTGAAGCTGGAGAAGACGACGAGTCTGAATTGAAGTTAAAGCCATAGAAGACGAGGCATCTGATGCCCTGGGTTCTGGAGAAGACTATTCAAACAAGTATTCGTTGATTGCAAATCTTAATAAAACATACAGTTCTCTCACTCTCAGGTTACAAAAGTTCTTGATCCTCCTAATTTTCTTCTTTCTGAAAATCTCAACTGTTGAAGTGAAGTTTTCTATCAGTAGCACCATACTATTTAGTGTTTCTGTGTTTAGTTTTGACTGATACCAAAAATTGAAAGATAAGAGATTTTTGTGCCATTTGGTTTGGCGATTTAAGGAATGAATATAGGAATTGAAACTTGATTTGAGCTTCAATATTTGAATTGGACATCTTATTATCTTTAGGCGAGCTTAATTTTTGGATTCATTGATGCGACAAAGGAAGAAGAATGGTGATGTTTTGGTGTCGGACTAAACAATCACAGCTCAGAAGCCCTAAAACCAATACAAGTAATCAATTATCTACTTCAATCTTTTTTCTAATCATTTGCTGATTGATTTCTTTTTCTAATAAATCATATTTGTTAATGCAGAGCTACCCAATAATACCTTCATTTTTCTCGATTCTCATTCAGAGGTTGCACTTGCACTCTTTTTCTACAAAAAATGAATTTATATTGTAGGATTAGAGAAATATTTATATAATTTTATTGTTTTTTAGGTAGCCCTGGCTTCGAGCCATCGGATGATGCGTCTCCCCTGTCATTTAAGGGACTCACTGCTTCATGAAATAGAACTCGGCATTCTTAAGGTTTTAGAAAATAAAGAGATCGAGAAAATGATTCTCTCAGATATTTTCTGCAGATGTGCTTTTTTGTCAAATTTCCTGTATGGTTCGTATGTTACAAGGTATTTTTATTCTCTAATCTTGGTGATTTTTATTTAAAATATAAAAGGAAATTTTACCAAATCATTTTGTTGCATTAGGTTGAAAGAAGAAAATTTTCTTTCTTCTCCAAAGTTGGTCAGTACATGTTAGAAATGCTGAGTCATGCTGTTTCAGTGATTGAAAAACGTTCCAGTGATATTTTTATTTAAAATATAAAAGGAAATTTTACCAAATCATTTACTTTATATTCTTTATTATTGCTTGCAGTGAATGTGTTGGAATTGGAATTGGCTAGCATATTTGGCGGATTGTTGGTGATTAGTCATAATGTAAGTAATAAGTTGCATATTAGTGTATATGTATGTATTTTGCTTTGATGTTGTTTGTTTACAATTACAGCTTTGGGACTTGAGAAACAAAGGCAGATGATCTTCTTCTTCAGAAGAAGATCGATACCAACAACTTTTGGGGCGAAGAGAGGATTTCCCGCTTCACATGTTGGTTTCTCTGTTATCATACCTGGTGTTTGGGTTCCTTCCACCGATTGTATCTGGGTTTTCATTCCGTGAGAGCAACGACAAAATCAGGGCTACCTCCTAAACATGTTGAAAATCAGGGCTACCTCCTAAACATGTTGAGAGGTATTAATGACCCCCTCAATTTATAATCAAATCAAGTTTCTTTTGAATCATAGTGTGACTTGAGTTGTGTTTTAATTTATGTTTATCATTTAGGTTTGTATTTGCGGTTCAAGTTTTGGTGATTCTCACTAATGTTTCAGGAATTTGCCAAACACTGATGGTATAGAACCCTTTAATCTTGAATTTTCTCTTGTGCAGTAAGATTTATATGAACATTAAAGTTACATGTTTTGTGCCAAATTTTGAAGTTGAATAGCATTCCTGAAAGATATTGTTATAAAGAAGAGGGAAAAATGCTTCAATCAAGTAAATGTATTCCTGAACAGTTAATATTTGTCATTGAACTGTAGGTAGACTCGTTTGCTTACCTACCTCCTAACTCAAAGCATCACTTTGAGAGTTATGAATCTTCTACACTTGTTGTATTTGAAAAAAAGGTATGTTATTCCTTCTCTTTATTTCATCCTGCATCTGTGTGTGTGTGTGTTATCAATTAACCACAAGGGCTAAAAAGTAATTTAACTTTTGTGTAGGTATGCTTACCTAGAAGATCATATTCCCGAGCCAATTGTTGGCTCCACCAATTAGCAGCCACTTCTTGATACCCCTGGAGACGTATGTACTTTTTTAACAATCAACCTAGTAGAATAAGAGTCCACTTTTTACTATTAATTTTTTTACTGTTTCCATATTAGGTATTCCATATTAATTTTTTTAACAATCAACCTAGAATAAGACATCACTGCCCTTTTGAGTCTCAAGAAAATGCAAAACCCTGCAGTGACACTGTTACCTTTTGGTTTACCAATCCAATCTACATGTCACTTTCCTTAGTAACTGATTCACTAGGATCCATCAAAGGCTCTATCTTTCTGCTGAAGAGAACCGTCCCCTTTGATTACTGATAAATTGATGGTCATTCATATTTTCTTTATCTATCCCCTCAAAATGAAATGTATCTCAATTATTGCAGTTTCAAACTGAGAAGAAGCATTCAGATTGTCTGGATGTCTTAAGCGAGACACATAACAGAGCCTCAGATCAAAAGATCCAGATTGGTGCTGATCCGGGTGATGGTTACACAAAGCACATTTTTAGAGGCTAGATGCAAGTAGTCTCTCTCTTTCTCTATCTCCTTTTTTTTAAATAAATTTGGTTCTCATTGTTGGCTTCTGAATAGCTTTTATTAATCCTTGTAATTATATTTTTATCTTTTTTCTATCAGATGTGCATCCTCAGTTCAGTCCTTGATAAGTGCCTAAGGCTGCTTGGTTTTGAGTCGGCAGCACCTTGCGATACCTCTTGCAAACTCAGGTATGTAGCTTTATTATTCCGAATAGCTCTTGTTTTCTAGTATTAGAAGATCATATGTATTGATTTCATGCATAACAATAGAGAGATATTGTAGCATCTTTAATAGAGCTATGTAGCATTATAATCCTTCAAATGTGATGGAAACATATGAGGTGCAACGAATAAGCAAAGAAAACTCTTAATCCCAATGATGTCAATAATCTTCCAGAAACTAAAAATCTTCATTGTTTGTACGATGCATGATATATTTGCATCCCATGCTATATTATTTAGATGCTTTAACTTTCATTAATTGGTTTGAATGTTGGTGTTTAGTAATTAAACTCAATTTATTCCTCTTTTTATTAACAAATTTTATTTATTCATGATCTTCAGCTATCTTCTGCTTGTGGGCGGCTTGTAATTTCAAGTGATGGAGTCTGGGATACTCTTTCCACTGAATCAGCTCTGGAATGCAGTCGCGGATTGGCTCCGGAATCAGCAGCAGCACAAATTGTCAAAGTACGGAAACAAAAAAATGTCAAATTTGTAATAAAATATTATGCAATGGATTCTATTTTTGTATGACATTAAATTTTATGAAATGGATTATATTTTTTGTATATGATATTTTATTTTCTATTATGATGCATTAAATGCAAATTTAATTTGAAAATTAGTAAATCTATAAAAAAAAAATTTTTTAAACATTTAAAATTATGATACGCAAAAATGTGTGTCATCTTCATTTATGATATGACCTTTCTTGATACGCATTGTGTGTCATTAACACGCGCGTCGTAAGGTTACGACACGCGAATGCGTGTTGTCTTCCTTTATGACAGGGTCTTCCTTGATACGCATTGCGTGTCGTAAAGGCGCGTCGTAACTACGCGTCGTCTCTCTTTATGACAAGGCCTTCCTTGACGCGCATTTGCGCGTCGTCTGAGCCATTTACGACGCGCAATGAGCGTCGTAAAAGGCTGTTTTTCTAGTAGTGTCTGGAAGTCAAAACATGCAAAGTGAAACACAATAATAATCGAATCCAATATGGTCTCAGAACCCTTTTGAATATAAATAGAACCACCATTTATTTATCACCATATTGATTACACATTATTCATTGTTTAATGTTTCAAATTATCAACTTAATACTTGAATAAAACAATAGTTGTCCCATGCTCCTAGCATGTACACTTTGTTTTCTAAACAATAGATATGTCATACTCCAAGTATGCACATTATGTTTATCTACGATCTTTACTTTTGTGAAATAGATCAATTGAACATGACTCCAATGATGCTCATTTCACAATCCCAAATCCTTATTGTAAATGTAAGAATTCCTAGTTCCTACCATTTACCAAAAATCTGTTAGATTCTAAACATTTATGCAATGTTCCTCTTGTAATGATTATGCACATAGTCACAAAACTTGTCAATAGTCATTACAGAGTATTCCAAAGAAGATCAACCCTATGGAAACGAAGTATCATATTCAAAGTACATTGCTTTGAACATCCTTCTTGCATTAAGGTTTTCTAATCTTACACAGATTAAATAACTTCCACCTATGGAGACATTTCCATAGTCCCATTTTGACTATCACTTCTGAACAAGAGTTGCCTCTTTTCAGAATATGTCAATATGGTCCTTTCCAACAATTTATATCATACTTCCAATTGTCCCTGAGCAACCAATCTTTGGAGAACCTCAGACTGTCCTCGACAATTTCTAAATCACTTTATTCATACCTCGTTCTAGACTTTTCCCTTCTTAATTCACTAAGCATTTTGAAAATTTAGAAAAGGATGAATATTATAGCACATGAATCGATCCTATATTCGAAGCATATGGGACATGATTCATGATGTCTCACATAAAGACATGATACTAGTCCAGTCTTTTGCTACAATATTTTTTATTCGCCATATTTTCAAAATTTAACTATGAAGAGGGATGTCGTAGTCATAATCAGATTTTTAGAACGCAATATATATAGAATTTCTTTAAGTTGAACCATTCCAACAATATATATATATATATATATATATATATATATATATATATATATATAATATATATATATATATATATATATCCTTGACTAACGATGATTAAAATCTCAATCTAAGCTTTTAGAATCGAATTGAAACCTTTTGTTTTTCTATAGTTAACATTGCTAGCTTGCAACAACAATAATCATAATTATCATGCCCCCACTAACATGATGATTATTAACATAATATTTATGCTCCCACTAGCTTTGACATGTATTCAGAAATCGGTTGGACTTCTAAAATTTAGATTCATACACCCTTCTGTAGATAGCTCACATGTGTGTCTAAACAATTTCAAGAACTATGAAAAGGGATGTCGTAATCATAGTCTCAATTGTTTAGACCTTTTCCATTTTTCACAAGTCCATTTTAGTGTGCCGGTTAACCACACACGCTCCACTAACAACTTTTGAAAATGCAAACATCATAATTGCTATCTACTTAAAATCTTCTTAGTGAAAGCATTTCCTCACCATCATTTTCATGAATCGGAGAGAAACCTTATGACACTTAGATTTTATAGTGTATGAGTTTCTATCCATGTGAATTTGTCAAAACCATAATCTCCAGACAAGGTTAGTGACAAATTCAGCCTTACATGAATTAAACTTGTTTAATCTTAATTTCTTGTCACCTGGTAGCATATGTACCAACAATGCTTCCAAGCTGTTATGCACACAGTTTAGAACTAACAAAACTCACATGCATAGTCAACTTAATAGGAACATACGCAGAAACAAGAGTTATGTCAACTTAATAGGTTGCAAACCTTAAGATGTGTGCTAGTGATAAAACTCAGGTTTTACTCTTGATTAAATCTTGAAATCCTTTCCGGATCTTTAAGGCTCCCACTGTCCTCTTGACATATAAGTTTCCCTAGTCAAGAACCATTCCCTGACAAAACAAATATTCAAGGGATAGTGTGGATTCTTATCAAGACTAACACTTCACACAATTGATCTTAGTTGGTCTTTGTCTCATTCAAGACATCACAACTTACCAATTTCAAATGTACAAGAGTAGAAAACATTTTACACTACATTTGATAAGTGTTTTAAACCTTACTTTATGTCACTCAATGTTATAATCTTGGAGTATGACTCTTAGAGTTGTTTTGGAATGAAGTATGACTCATTCTCTTGATTTTAACCATTCCAACAATTCATGACCCCTCTTCTTAGTCATAACAATGCACTAAGATGTTCCTAGAGTATGAATTTCTGATATGGTATCTTAATCATTAAGATGATCATAAAACACGATACCAAAGTACTCTCCCATCATTTCAGATTGGAGAAACTTTTATTTTTCTGCCTAATTTGATTCTTTCCCATTCGTTCTTGTCACACATTGAAAACTTTCCAATGCTTCAGAATTATACTTACACTTGTAAGTATAACCATGTTTACTAGGCTTTAGCAAATCATGACGAATAGTCTTATCAATCTTTGTGGTGGACTTGACCAGTGCACAAGCATGTCTACTTGATCCCTTTAGTCCTATCCTTGTTCACATAAGGAATTAGTCTTAATTTTCCAAAGATGAAAATTCTCATCCGTCATACAATCAACTTGTATGATTCCAAGTTTCGGTCCAATTGAACCTTGGGTGATAAGAACCTTTCCTCATTTTGGTAAATTCAGACATTACCACAAACGAAAGAATCAAATCCACTTTCCAATATTGCTATTACTGGAAACATATAAGCAACAATTTTTCACAAATGCCATTGTAAGGATATTTTTAAAATAAATAAAATTAAAACCTTTTTTTTATTTTAAAAACTTTGCGGAAAAACTTACCCTTACAATCCATATGAAAACCTTGTTGTTATCTATTCCTAAGTAATATATCATAACTCTCAAGCAACAACTCAAAATTCTGATCACCGAACCATGCGATCGAAACCCATCTTCGCAATCAGAATCATCATATACTTCCTTTAAGCTTCCTATCTTTTCTTTGATTCTTAAAAATATCAACATGTGACCCACTCACATTATGTAACAAGAATCACCAAATAGGAACTTAATAGAGTTAGATAGTGGACTTTAACTAAAGTAGAGTTAAACTTCTTGACTTGATCAATCTTATGATCTTTCAGGTAAATATGGTAGCTTCGCAATCAGTGTCCCTCCTTTTCGCAATAAAACTTGTGGACGCTTTGGTAATGGCACATGAGACTATCCCAGACTTAGCCTTTCTCTTTACCATTTGGTCAACCGAGTTGACTATGGCCGATCCATTTCCATTGGGAAGAGAAATCATTTTCTAGATATCCAATGCTACCATTGTCAATGTCCATTTAAGGTTTGGGAAGTTGATCTTGTAACAAAATCTGCTTTACTAATGTTCCAAATCATTGTTGATTCCGCAGCACCAAGCAAATATATAAGATCACTAAGAGTCATGTCATAGTCTATCTCATAGTAGTCCCAAAGGGACTCACTATGTTACCAAGAAAGTGATTGAACATCCAACTTTCACAAGACTTTGACACCCAACTCTCCCGGCTTGTCAATATGTGACTTTATCTCCAAGATGTGAGCACACATAGACTATGCTTGCCAATAGGGATTTTAGTGACCTTAAACTTGTGGGTTAGGGAGAATAAATAGAGGATGTGGAGCAAGTGAAGCATGATGTTGAGGGA